GAAAGAGGAATAAGTGGAGTACTGTACTGTAAATACATATGTTCTCATATTCTGAATTTATAATGCTCTTAATATAGTAATGTTATGTCCTGACCTTCTAAGCTGTTATCTGAGAGTCCTCTCCAGTTTTCCAAATCAGTAAGCTGCAGTCTCTGGATGACTACTGCTGCTTTTAATCCCTGTGCAAAGAAAATCAATGCTGCCTCTCTGGTTCACTATAAGCTGGGCCTATTTGTCAACTTCTGTAAAGATTCATGTAAAATGGGCAAAAGTACAAAAGAAGACTGAGATTTATGAGTATCTGATTTGGAAAATGGACAAACAATGTGTAGCTAGGAAAAAGTGTGGCATCTAAACTTCTAGCTCAGGATCATAGAAGGTGTAAAGACAACGTAGAACAACAATATCCTCACATTCTCCTGTAAGCGTTACTCAAACTCTGTAAAACCAAAACCTACGGCATTCAGTAGCATATATCTCAACACGCAAGTTTGATTATTATTCACATGTTTGTGGGTTTTTTTTCCACCATGGATAATTACTTTCTTCCTCTGAGTAACTCTGATCTTCAAGGCATCCTGTTTTTTCCTCTTGATGGAATATTTCACTGATTCTGATTCACTCTTTCTATGCAAGCCTACTCATCTTTAAAATTTTGTTTGTTGAGCCCAATACAAGTTACCTGATTTCAAGAGTGCGGAAAAATGCCTACAAGACTTAGGTACGTGTACAATTAAAGTGAGAGGAAAAAGAGAAACTATAAGAATAATAGAGCTGACTTTTCTTTTTTTAACTTGAGTTACATTCTGTTTCTGTAGATGGCAGGTAATCAAGAAAACACCTGCATGGAATTTCCTAAATTAAAAACATTTTGCTAACTATGAGTATGGTTATTATAGAGGATCCTGCTTTGAGCAGGAGTTGGACTGGATCCCACAGATTGACTAAACGTTGATCCCCTGCAGCTTGCATGATTCTGTTGTTCTGAATACCCTGACTTGACATTTGTAGTGTCAAAAGTGCTACTTATTCTTAACATAACTTCAGAAATTTACTTCAAAACCTTATGCATTCATCCATATTCAGGTTTACTATTGTTGTTTTCTGTTGAAAGAAGTGTAGTCCATGCTGTGGTGGGATTTAACATGATACCATGAGGAATAGTTATGTCCTGACCCAGTGCAAAGCTTTTCACATAACTTCTGTCCTCCTAATTTGCTGTTTTTTTTCAGTTTCATTATAATATGGTTGCTAACAGACCTATCTCTTTGATCTCCCACCATCTTATTCTACCTATATAATACTTTTCTCCACTTCATGCAGAGCATGATGGCTAATTGATGCTTGAAATACTTTCTTGTTTAATAATTAGTCTCCTTTTCTTCTATTATTATTACAGGAAATTGGAAAAAGAACATTTGAGCCTTGCAGGTTTAGGACTTATTAGAATAACCCCAGCATTTCACACAGAACCCTCTTTGTCCTCAGATTGCCATGGCCTCATTTGACTCTGTCCAATAAAAGGACAGAGGAACATTTTTTGCAGCAACAGTAGCACAGGTGCCTGTCACCAGCTGTTTTTTACTGTTTTCCAGATCTCTTCTAGGTTTGTGATGAATAATTCATCTAACTTCTTAATGTGCACAGAAGATACTTCATGTGTACAGAAGAAACTTGCAAGTACTTGCTAGTGTTCAACCTTTTTCTATGAATTGTTTCCCATTCTTTCCAGAGACCTCTTGGTAGAGTGCAAGAGAGAAAAAAATGTGAGAGAATTTCCAAGATTATAACACTGGACACGTTTAGTTAAAACAAGGAGGATAAAAAGTCCCATGAACTCTCAAAGGCCTACTTGCTAGTGTAAACGATGTCAAGCTTCTCCTTCTGACTTCTCCTTTTAGGTTTCTTTTTGGTCGCTCTTAACTGACCTTACCCTCATACATTCTCCATTTGAGTCCGGTTTCACTTCTAAATGTTATGGTTTGGCTTAGGCAAGCTGTTAGCTTCCATGTATAGCCAATTATCAACTTTACTGTATTGCTGTTCATCACACACTTCTCTGGAGTTAGCTGGACAAATCTGTGCTGGGCTTCAGGGCTGAGCTGGAGTGCCCAGTCGAGCACCACTGCCCCATTGCAGAATATCCATTTGCCGATCATGTAGCGGAGCTTTAACTTAACGATGAAAACAAGTGATTTCTTTGAAATGCTTCTGTTTTTTACGTGACCTAAAGAGGCAAACTACTGATAATCCATCTCTTAAGCAAAAGAGGCACTTAAAGGAAATAGAAACTCGTTTCTATGTGAGAGGAAACAGTATTAATAAAAAAAAAAAAACAAAGAGGAGGACGCTTTTGAGCTGTAGGGATAATATTTTGGAACATTAAAATTCATTAAAATTTTCTCTAATATCACATAGTTCATTTGTAATGGGGTGATGGTATCCATTATGAATTTTCTTTTAGATCTAATTTCTTTTACAA